ATGCAACTATAAGAGAAAAAATCCAAGTTATATGTTATAAGACAAGTTATCATATGTGTACATGTGAAATATGAGATGTGGTTATATGAGAAGTGATAGAAGAGATATGAAAATGTGAAATGTATCCATATTTAAGCTCATGTTATGTGATATGAGAGCTGTAGGTATAGTAGGCATACCAAGAGTCGAGGGTTCTATATGGTCCTTCAGGATTTCTTCGGGGCACATATTTGGTCCTTTGGAATATATATGTGATCCTTAAGGAGTGGTCCTTCGGGATATTTATGTGGTCCTTCGGGACATATATGTGGTCCTTCGGGACAAATTTTATATGCCCTTAGTGGGAATTTATACGAGCTATGGTGACAGCATATGTGTATAACCTCAATGTACTCACGTACCTCAGGTTCTCAGTAATGTACATGGGCACCCAAAAGATAAACCGAATTAAACACCTCATAAGATGATATGTTTTATTTGTGCATTCCATGATTATGTATGTTATAGTTAAGCAAATATAAGCAAATTGTAATGTCATGTTGGAATTATAGAATTGCATGCTTCATAAATTCATTGTTATATGTTATATTATGCCTCGCTAAGTCTGTGACTTAGCGTGTGAGTGTTTCACACGTAGGTACCAAGAAACAAGAAGACCAGAGTTAAAGTTTAGGAAGGCAACATCTCTTTTGAAGACGATCGGATCAGAAGTGATTTAAAACAGTATGTCACTTTGTTGTAGAAATTATGTTGGAATGTAATTACAGATTAAATCATATATGCTATGATCGATTTTGTAATTATTTTGATGGTATTTATGTAAATTATTTCACTGTTGTTTTAATAAAAGTTTAAATTTTATGAGATTTTGTAAAAGTAAATGTTTTAAAAAGTTAATTTGACACCTCAGATTCGTATCCGGGTCGGGTATAAGTTGGGGGTGTTACAATCTTTCTTTGTAGGTATTAAATGTGTATCCTCCAGTTACAACTGACATCATGGTGTACACACCTTATGAAAAAATATCTTTTAATCAGACTTCATGACATAGAATTAGAGATGAACTTTCATGCATTACTCCTTAATTGCTAGTTGTGTCTCCTTTTTTGTTTCAAGCTGAGACCGAATCACCAACTTAGATGATCGTTCGTTTGAATAATTTCAAATGACAAAGAATATTGGAGTTAATGTTTTTAATGCTTCTAATGCTTGCAAACTTAATCTACTAATTTTCGTAACTTGTTTTAATAAAAAATTCAATATACCCCAAGTTGTTGCTTGTAACATACTTCAAATTCAGAGCGGTTGATTATTTAAATATAATATATTTTATTAATATAATAAATTATTTTTTAAAATTAATATATATTTTTAATTAAAAAACTCCTAAGTGTGACGAATTAGGTAGATTTGAATTTAAACCTCAACGATCTATCTATAAGAACTACTTTTTTTTAAATTACTCACATAAACCAGTGTGACGAGTTCTACAAATTATTTTCTTTTCATTATAGTCACATTTTTTTAAAAATTAAGTTTCTTAATTAAGTTATACTTCAATTTTTTTACTTTACTTAATATTAAAAAATTCTTAAATAAGTAACTATATATTACATATACTATACTTAAATAAACAACTATTAAAATTTAACAAATTTAATAATATATTTTTCTTAAATATTAAATTACCAAACAAATTTAACAAAAATATTAAAAATTTAACAAACTAATAATTATAGTACTACATAGAAATAACTAATAATTTAACAAAAATACTTATATTTTCTTAATTCTCGACGATGTTGAGGAGTGATTGAATAGTAATGACATGGGGCTTGTTCAATTTCGTCGTAGTCGTCCATCTTTATCATCTTCTTCTACGTTTTCTTATTGTTGATCTGGTGTACTAAACATCACTCCACTACTTTGGTTTCCACTTTAGAGTGAAAATGATGGAGTATTTAAGGTATTCGATGCCCTCATTGACGTCATTGACTCAAATTGTACACCAAAATCACTACATGATTGACCATATAAAACATGATTCCATGTATCCATAGCTCTCGTATCTTTTATTGAAAATTGTTGAGAAGGTGACACTTCATCCCATGAACCTCCTACCCACTCCAGTCGACTATCCATCGAAGCATGATAAAGAGGATATCCACCATAACTTGCTTAAGATGCAAAATAATCCGCTGAAGTAGAAGATAAAGATGTTGCTGAAGATGATGATTTCTTGGAATATTTTGCCTTCATTTCTTCCCATTCGACCCGACCTCCCGACGTTGTTAAATATATATGGTTTACCATTTGCTTCATAATTTTGGAGGCAGAGATAAACTATGAAATCAAAATTTTCTACACTAATCTCTGAACGATTAGACAAATTTAAATGCCTCTCATTCCATTGTTGTATGTATACAACATGCTTCTTCGGCCAATCATCTCTATGCTTCCCATGCGTATCAAATTTGTGGAAATCGTCAATGTTATATATCGCCATTGGAATCAGTTGATGGGACACAAATTGTTGCATAAGTCTATCTGCGGCATGGATCTCAACAATGACGAAATAGAGCAACAACGTTACAACACACCACGTCTCTGCTCCTTCAAAAACAAGTGTGGTAGACACCGTTGGATCTCCAACTTATAATATGAAAACCAATTAAACTGTAAAAAATGTTACATTAGTATAATTAAAAAATAATACTATTAATTTCAAAGTTATACAACAAATTTAGAATATTTATCGCATATCTACTGACAATATCGATCCTCATCCGTATATCAATATTGGTAGCACCCCCAACTTTGTATCAGTAATTCGATGTCATCATCTAAACAACATAATAAATACAAATTAACAACTACATTATTAATTCAAAATTTCTAAAACATTTTAATTAATAATATAAATTTACTATAATTTAAATCTACAAAGTTACCTTATAGCGAAAGGAAACTCAATAGGAACAGTTGTAAAAGGCGTCAAAAACGAAAAACGATACCACACCCATGATTGTAGTAGAACTAAACAACTCAATACTATGCTTTTTGACCTCTTACCACTATGGTAGCCTTACAAAGTTAACGATATAAAAATGTCATAATCACTGAACCCCAACTATACTAATGACACACCAAGAAATCTTCTAATACCAAGAGATATTGAGTGTGCACCAAATTCACGGATTTATCCAGTAACAAGATCATTCCAATCAACTTGAGAAGATATACTCAGGCTGCAAAGATCATCTCTTTCTAGGTTGAATGTTCATCCACTATGAATTCCTTCTCCAACCACGTCATTCGTATTCGCAACCCACCAGTCACATCTATTGGAGGCTCCCTTTCTAATAACTCTAAAATAAGCTGATCTCGCTTATAATTGTTGTGAAGCATCAATGGTGCACAATTAATCGAAACACCAAGTTGATAAGTCATATCTTCCAATGTAATCAAGCCTCACCACAAGGAAATGGAACATATGAGTTTCGGGCCTCAAATGTTCAATCAACACCGATATCAATGATGACATCACCTTAAAACCACGAAGAAATGTGACAACCCAGATTGTTGAAGATAAATGACAATCCGCTGATGCGGCTCATCATTGGTCATTCATCGATGATGAATGACTCGTTCTTTTTGTTACAAATATAAATTTAAACAATTAATAAAATTTTAAAAATAAAAACATGAGTTTTATAATTTTAATAAAAAAAGTAATTTTACCACAATGAGCTCAGTCGAGGAAATATAGACTTCATCAAGACGTAATATTTCTTCTCAGGTGACCATTTTAACACAAATTCTTCAAAAAATCATTTTTTTTATCTCAATCAACTTTTTTTTTTTGAAAGTTGAGTGTAAACTCTAAACAAAAAACCCAAACACCTATTTATACCTCAACATCCAACGACTATAAACTATTATTTTTAAAATTCAATTGGAACTCGTCATGCGGGCGTGATGAGTTTCATTATTACTGTTAGAGGACTGCCTGTTGCCCAACGTTCACGGGCTTGTAAATTCAAAAATTCAAATAAAATTTATCGTGTCAACGTGACGTGTTTCGTACTTCTTTAAACTATTATTATTTATTTAAATTATTATTTTAATCTAAAAAATAATATTAATTTAATAAGACTAGTCATGTCAGTATGACAAGTCCCTGTGGACATAATAAAAAATTTGACCTAATGAAGCTCACATACCTGGGACCATTAAATAATAATATCTTTTAGAAGTTGTCACGTCAGCGTGATGAGTTACCTCAACACTATGTTAATTGTCGTAAATCCCAAAATAAAAATCATGTTGCCTTAATGGGTTAATTAATTAGCCCGCGTGGATTATTAAGCAAATTTTGCCAAAAGTATCTATTTATGTGAAAATATTAGAAATTAACAAAATCCATGGCCCTGATCTAAACAAGAAAAAAAATACAAAAAAGAAAGGGTAAAAAACACAAATGATCCTCTGACTATTGGATACTATTTTGTTGAATCTCTCGACTATTAAAAATTACAAAATGATCCTCTTACTATAGAGAGTTGTTTTGTTGAATCCATCGACTAGTAAAAGTTACAAAATGGTCACACGAATACTCATTATGTTCTAAACTTGTCATTTTTCATTAAAAAATTAATGACAATCTGAGTTGGACTTTAACTTGTTGACTAAGATATAATAAAATATAATATAATAATCTTAAAGACTATCACATCTCAGTCAGCATATTAATGTCCAGCTTAGACGATCGTTAATTTTTTAACAGAAAAAAGACGATTTTAGAACATAATGAATAATCAAGTGATCATTTTATAACTTTTAATAATTAAAAGACTCATCAAATTATAATTTTTTAATGACTCAATAAAATAGTATCATATAACCAGATGACCATTTGTGTAATTTTACACGAAAAGAAAAAACCCATAAATCACACCCACAAAGGCGAGATATTTTTTGTATAAACTTCCTCCTACCCTCTCCTATCTGCTCCCCCCTTATCCTTTCATCTCCTCTAATCTTCTTAAACCCTCTCCTTGGTCTCTGTCTCCTTACGAATTCTTCAACACCACCAAAAAATGTCTACTGTAATGAAACCCGTGTCCCTGGCTGACTCATCTTGCCACGTTTCTTTGCCTTCACTCTTCACCACTCCTTCCAAAGTTCCATCTCTTCTTTCACTTCCTTCAAAACCCATCAAGCTTATCCTCTCATCTTCCACTTACCCAACCTTTTCGTCCCTCAAAACCAAAAACCATTTCCCTTCTCTAGTTGCCTTTGTGGCCCAGACTTCAGATTGGGCTCAACAAGAGGAAGAAAACGACACCACCATCACCATCGATGAAAAAGACGAGCAGCAAGGAACTGATAGTGAAGGAGGAGAATCATCATGGGAAAATGAAGAAAGTGATGGCGCCGAAGCAAGCTTGTCGGATTGGGAACCTGAAGGTGATGTCGAAGTTTTCGAGGGAGAGGTTGCTGGTGGTTCAGAAGAAAATGATTCTGAACCTAATGAGGAAGCTAAATTGTTTGTTGGGAATCTTCCTTATGATGTTGATAGCCAAAGCTTGGCTATGCTTTTTGAGAAAGCTGGAACCGTGGAAATTGCTGAGGTTATAGACCAAGTTTCTGTTTCGAAACTATTTGAAAATTCCTTTTTTATTTGGTTTTTGGGTCATAAACTGTTGAAATTTTGATTTTTTTTTCTATTTGCAGGTTATTTACAATAGGGATACCGAGCAAAGTCGTGGCTTTGGATTTATAACTATGAGTTCCGTTGAGGAAGCTGAGAAGGCTGCTGAAACATTCAATGGTTATGTAAGCCTTTTCTTTATCTTGGTTTGCTCAAAATTTTCTATTGCTTGATATGTGATAATAAATGAGGAATATGGAGTATATATGGTGTGTTATTGTTAATCTTATATGTGCTTGGGAATTATCATCAATAGTTGAGTTAAATTGCTTGGTTTGGTTAAATTGACCACCTTGAAATAGACTATGTTAACCAGACTTTTTTTTTCTATAATACTGAATGTTCCATACATATTTAGACATGAGTATGGGGATAAATGAAAAAACTTGGAATAAACTCAGTCTACTTGGCTTAAACATGTATCAGTTCCTAACATTCACTTTGAGTAGAATTAGATTTTGTCAAATGTACAGTAGATAGTCAGAATAGGAAAGTTGCAGAAGGGTTTAGGGTTTTATACTTTTTTGAGTTAGTGAAAGCAAGGTTTATATAGATTATCTCATTTTGAAGATTAACATAAAGTGAAGGCACATAACTTCACAGTTATGGTTTGTTTCCATATATGATATCAATTGGACATTTTCAAGTACTCAAGGGTACATGAAATTGTAATCATTTTGACATCCAGTAGAAAATCAAGTTTTCATTTTTTTTTCTGAGAGATATCTGTAGTTTGCTTGCAATAATCCACATAAGGAGTGAAATTATGTTAGTTCATGTTTGATGTGTAGCCACTGATAGATGCTTGCAAGCAAGAACCAAGTTAACTATTTTGACTTAGCCGTGACGGGCCATTTTCTATAGATGGTATTTGGGGTTTAATTAAAGAAAAGAAGAAATTGATCTTGTTTTAGAACTTTCTTTAGTTTGCCTTTAACTATCATTTGGTGAATAAGATAAATGCTAGGGTTAACCCTTTTGATGTCTTGTATGCTATTTTCTATGATTTTCTAGGTATATTTGCACTAAAAAGCTTTGTATTTTTTTCATCTTTTTATGAGAACAACTTAATCACTTTCTATGTCGTATGAGATTGTTTCGTAGAAGTTTGAGTCTATGAGATACTTGGTACACACTGACCTCAAGTGTTCTCTGTTTTTTTCTTTATTTGTCTTAATGGGCTCCGAAGTTTGTATGAGGCGCTTGTGCTTAGATATTGCTGTTTTCGAACAGGATCTCAATGGAAGGCAATTGACCGTAAATAAGGCTTCTCCTAGAGGATCGCGTATTGAGCGACCCCCTCGTGTTTATGAACAAGCTTTAAGAGTCTATGTGGGTAACCTTCCATGGGATGTGGATAATGCTCGATTGGAGCAAGTTTTCAGTGAATACGGTAAAGTAGTGGAAGCTCGTGTGGTCTATGACAGGGAGACAGGCCGGTCGCGTGGTTTCGGTTTTGTGACTATGTCCTCGGAGACTGAATTGAACGATGCCATTGCTGCTCTCGATGGACAGGTAATATCACCGAGTTTTCACTGCAATTTTCCCTAGAATCTCGATGATAGTAATTTCCCATTCATGCATTTGCTTTCTCGAACTCATCAGAAATACATTTTTCTGTTGGATTAAACTGCACAGACGCATACAAATTTCCAGCTTTGTTATTCTGATTCTTTTTTTTTCTTTCTTGAGAGAACCGATTTTAATATCTATGACCCTTTTTGATTCCCTAAATACTTGGAGACTTTTTAAAAAACATGTTTCATGTGTGTCCTGTTGTTGCAGAGCCTGGATGGAAGAGCACTAAGAGTAAATGTTGCAGAGCAAAGAGCTAGGCGAAGCTTTTAAGCTGAAATGATTTACATTTAGATTAAGATTATCTGACGCTGTTGGCCTTTTAAGTTCTGTTTTTAATTCTTTTTTTTTTCTTTTTTTTCCCTTAATTTTGTTCTGTGAATTTTGGCATGGAATATTTTATCCTGAGAATTATGAAGCCAGTTGTTTCTAGGAATCCTGCATTGCCCTACATTAGTATCAATTTAATTAAAAAATGGGTAAACTACATATTTAGTACCCCAACTATCAATTTTGTTCCATTTTAGTTATCTAATTATGTTTTGTTTTAAAATTATACTTAATGTTATGTTTTGGTTTCATTTTGGTCACATATTGTTAAAAATTTAATGGTGATACTGATGTGTCATCATAAGGTAATGTCATGTCATCATTGAAAAAAATTTAAAAAATATCATTAGTAGTTTTGTTACCTTTTCAACGGAAGGTAATTAAAACGAACTCAAAATATAACTGTAGGTATGATTTTGAAACATAAAATAATTAGGTGACTAAAACAAAAAGAAGTGATAGTTGTGTACTAAATGTGTACTTTTCCCTTAAATAATTCATGCATAGAACCCTGCCTTCTGCATGCTGCTCAGATGAACTAATATCTGAATTATTTGATTGCTTGTTGTTTGACGCGTGCAAGCATGATCTTTTATTTCTGTTTCCATTATATTTGCTAAATGCTATTTATTAGATCATTTCATTAAAAAATTATTAGTTTAATAACTTAAAATTATATTTACTCACAATAATATTTTTAGGAAAAACTTAATTGAATGTTGAGGAAACATTCTCGATATAAACTATTTCCTAATTTAAGATTAGAAAATCGAATTCCTTTAAAAGTTAATGTCACTTTCTAAACTTTGTAATTCACTTAGTAGTTATTAAAAATAAGAATTTATTTTAGAAAATCTCATTTGATGGGCCAGATTCAAGTGTGGAGATTTGAGATGTTACGCATGATAGTATCGACTCATTTAATTAAATTGATATCAAAACTCAAAATGATATCAATATTGAAAGATGATATCAATACTTAAAGGTTGGGTATCGTCTTCAAATAAAAGCATCCAAATAAAGAGTATCGATACTAATAGAAATATTTTGACTATGAGACTTGAACTTAATATAAAGTATTACCTTCACAAGTAATTAGAATACCCTTAAGAGAATAATGTTACGATAATGTCCCTATCAGACTAGGTGCCAACATTAGAGTTGTCCTTACAGCCAAAATAAAATTAAATAGACATGGAGTCCCAAATGATTAGCCTAGTGGCATAATAGTATTGTTTTTGACATTCATAACGTCAGTAAGAATAAATGTCAATCTTAGTGGCGTAAGTATGATTGTTTGTATAACTTTAGTGACTATTGTCTATATACATATATGATATATCTATATATGTGTAGTAACCGTATTTCGGGTGGGTTTGGAATCGGACTTCGACTTAAATAAAACATGCTAGAGCGGCCATCGATCATTTATTATTTTTTTTTAAAAATTAGGTTGATCAGACACCTCAATTTATTATCTTAACTGATCTGCGTTTTACCAGAAATATGTCGGGTTTGGGTGTCGGTTACAGTCAAGGAAGGATTACCACCCTTGTACTGCCCTTTCGGTATCAATTTAATATTTCGGTTGTCTTAATTACAAAAATTAAAAGCTAAATTGAAATTTAAAGATTTAATTCGAATTACTTACCTTTGATCGATAAAAATTACCCTTAAAAAAGTCAAAAAAAAAACGTTAGATTATAAAATAAAATAAATATCCAATAAATCAAAGAAAAAAAGGTTGAATTAAGAAAAGAAAAAATGTAAAAAGTGAAAAATTTAAAAAAAAATAAAATAAATGAAGGAAGTATTAAATTTTAAAAGAAATAAAAAAATATAAAAAATATTAAAAAGGAGAAAAACGCTAAAAAAACAAAATATATAAAAAAATGAAGTCAAAATGAAAGAGAATAAAAAAAATAAAAGGAATAGATAGAAATTTAAAAGATCAAAATTGGGGAGTCAAATTGCAAAAAATGAGAAATATAAACAAGGATTAATTGAAATAATTCAAAATTCAATGGCCAATTTATAACAGGTGACTAGAATGAATTACACAACAAAGTATCAGGGACTAAGGAAATAATTTACCTATCTTGTAGTTACACTCTAGTCCCCACTATAAATACCCCCTAAAATCCTAAAATTTTCATTCTATATCATTTCAAACAAAACATCCCTCCTCTCTTCTCAAATGCTCTCAACTCTCTCCCACTCGTCCGAATGGTCAGCCACTGTTTTAGCTATGCACCGCCACCCGTCGCCCTGGCGGCAAAAAAAAAACCATCCTTACACTTTTCGAAAGCCCACGTTACCCCGAGGTCAGATCTAACCCCTAAACCTCCTAAAACAGCCCCGAATGACGTAGATCTACGCCAAAAGATCCCGAGTTTTACCTTTTTCGACGTGATCCGATGACTTTTGGTTTTCCCCGCGACCGTGGTCCCCTCCGCTTATCAGCCTTTAGAGAAAGATTTGATTTTTTTGTGTGTTGATTCGAACAATTTCTTTGCTTGTTTGCTATTGTGATTTTTCTGGGTATTTTTTTGGTATTCGACTGTTGTTGGTATTTGGCTCGGGTTTTTTCGTGGCTCTTGTTGTTTTCGTTGCATGGTCGGAGACTTTTATAGCCCCGTAATCGACCGTTGTAGTCCCGAATATCTTGGGGTGTTGCTGATTCTTCCGGGATAGTTCAGTCCCGTTCGGCGACGTAGGTTGTTAGTGCGATCAGAAAGCTCGGGATGGGTCAGTCCTGGGTTGTCGGTCGAAAATACCGCTGGTTGTTGGCACGTGGCCTCCACGCGCTTTGCGTGCGACGCTTAGCTTCATATGATTAGGGTTTTGCAACCCTATTTTGCTTCGAACTCAGCAGTTGGTTTATGTTTTGATCTGATGGCTCTAGTAGATGCGGCGCTGAGCTTGATTTGTGAAACCCTATTTTGCATATGGGCTAGGTTGGGCTTGTATGCTTGGACCTCTTCTGGATCGAACTGTGGACTAGACTTGGACATGAAATAAAATAAAAAAGTAAAACGAAATAAATAAAATAAATAATATAATATAAATAATAATATACTAAATATAATAATAAAAACTATATTTTTAAAAATATGTCTTCAAAAATTATATTATATGTTTTCGAAAATCATTTTAAAAAATATATATTATACGTTTTCAAAACCATTTTAAAAAAACCATATACTATATGTTTCAAAATCATTTTTAAAAACTATATATTATACGTTTTCAGAACCATTTCAAAAAACTATATATTATATGTTTTGCAAAATTATTTTAAAAACGATATACTATATGTTTTCTAAATCGTTTTAAAAACTATATATTATACATTTTTTTAAAAAATAAGTTTCCAAAACTATATGTTATATATTTTCAAAAACCATATTTGAAATTTTTATATATACTACTGATCGCTTGGAAATATATATGTCAAGACAAGCAATTTTGTGCAAGTATACACAATCGAATCAAGTAATAAAGGGTAAGTGAGTTATCATCTTCCCAGGGAATGATTGGTTCTTTTTAAGTTTCACCACAACCAGAACTAGTTGTCACAAGCTAATTCCTGAAGTCTTATCAAACTAGAAAACTATTAGCAATAAAGCAAGAAAATATTATAAAGTATGATTGCAGAAAAGTTTGGTCGAGGCTAAATAATTATGCAAAACTTATAGAATTAAAATAAATAAGGCAAAGACAAGTGTTGATTTAAATATATTCAAAACAACCTCACATATTCAAACTTTTCACAGAGCACTCATGCTAATCTTTTGTTATGACAAGCAATTATTCTAAGTTTAGAATGAATTGTTATGATATGCTTAAGCTGCCCGACTGGATTACTGATTATTCTTAGACGATTGTTATGACAATAGTACTCAGCGTTAACTACAACCCTTGGTTTGTCAGACTGTTGTTGTAGTAATACCTCTCAGCGTGAACTATAATCATTATTCTATCCTACTCTAGCGTCTATCCCTTTTAGTCGATTGAAACCCTCTCCTTATCTCTAAGGTAGAAAACAACCCGAATCCATTCCATTGTTCACGTGTTTCACCTAGACTCCAGGCAATCTCTCGAAGCTCTTATAGTGTCAAGGAAAAATATTTAAACAATAAACAAAACATACATGAACAGAATCATAATTCATCATTCATAAAAAAATAATTGTTTCGGCAAAACAAAGATTAACACCAAGTAAAGCAGTTCATGGTGTTGTCAAAACGTCAACCAAAGTATCATCGTTTTAATACAACCACAAACAAAGTAAAGAAATTACGAACAAAGGAAGAACGACTCCCAAAGTTGGGGGCTCTGTTGTGACATCTCTGATCAACACCACGCCTTCTCTGGTAGCCAGACTCTCTCGAGGCCTGACCGCCGCTATGCTATTGCTTAGGTATGGAGGACTCCAAGGATGGTCGGTTAGAAAATGATGGGGAAGCACTGCGTTGCTCGCTCACGCTTCAGTTAAAGCTCTTTTTACTTCCTTATCCCTTTTTGGCTGCTGTGGCTGGGTATTTATAAAGGAAAATCTCCTAGGGTTTTGCGTAAGTGAAGATTCCCTAAATACCTATTATTTTCTTGTCCAGGCTAAAAAAGGAAAGGCAACTGTTTGTTGTCAGAATCTTGAGGGCTTGCTTGCACATGAGGGTAGTCGTACAGCTGGTATGTGACATATACAATTCGTCATATCCACTTCAGACTTGCAAGATAAACCTTGCCTTGGCGAGATAAATCTGCTCCTCACTGTCTTTATCCTCTCTATTCCACTGGCCCTTGCGAAATGCTTTATCGCAACTGAAATGTTCTTCCTTAGGTAACTTCCTGCACATACACAGTCCACACAAGCCCTCTCTCCTCGGTAACATCAGTCAAATCAAATAAATGTTTCCCAAACAACACTTATCCACCACAAAAAAATATAACCTAAATACAGCTAAATGCAACTAATATGCTATGCATACTCTGTTTAGACGAGAAATAACTTAAGTAAAAAGGCTAGAAATAGAGTCTTTTTATGGATTTATCACACCCCCAAACTTAAGCTATTGCTTGTCCTCAAGAAATGGACAGTAGCTA